TTTTCAGGTTTCCGCGTTCAGCTGTACGCACCTGAGATTCACAGCAGGGAAGTTCAGCCTGTACCTACATGTTCAGAGCAGCAGGGCCTTAGAGGCAAAGACAGCGTCTTCCTAGCAGGGGGAGAAGCGGTCGCCACGTGCACGACAAGGACAAGCACAACACCCAAGCGAACGGCGCGGCTAGCACAAGGCAAGGACATGGAGGACCTCGCTCTCCCACGGCACTTTTCCTTGGGAAGTCTCAGAGGCTTTCCGAGGCAGCTGGCTGGAGAGGTTCGCAGGGAATCGCAGCTGGCTGGGGACGCGGCTCAGCCCCGACTCCCAGGTGCCATGGGCTCCCCCACCCAGCAGACCTCACTGCCACGCTCGTAACGCCAGTGCTAACGAATATCCCAGCAGATTGACAATAACCGAGTAATTCCACGGCGTTGCTCAAGCCCGACCCTAAACCTGCTCACGGTGATGGGCAGCAGCCTCAGACTCTTACCTTGAAACTGATTTCAGTTTCGCGTTTCGACACCTCGCTTGCCAGCTTCTCGGTGCGTTTCTGAAAAGAGACGGCTCCAGGACCTGTCTGGAAAAAAGCATGGTTTAGACAGCAGAGAGGCAGAGTGCTGGATCTCTTCACACCGCTCTCCTCGTGCCTTGGCAGAAGGGAACGGCAACAGGCTTGCACTGAGAGCTGACGACGTTTCGAGGCAACACTGCACGCTACTTGTAGCATAAACGCATTAAGAAAATTAAACATTTTTACAGCCGTCACACCATCAAAGCTTTACTCTCTCCACTCTTTAAATTAAGTGTTGGTTTGCATATCCGTGCCATCCCAGCTATGTAATAACCTCTCTAAAGCTATTTTTGTTTCCCATTCCCTGCCGTTTGGTAAAGTGAGCTGGAGTTTTCTGAGGACAGTCATTTTTATTAGAGCTAATTCAGCATTATTTTCTCACCCGTTGCCTTTGTTGGAAGCAAGTAAAGAAAACTCGAAGGCAGCATACAGTGCCTGTGAGGGAAACTGCCTTCCCCGCCTCGCCCTGGCCGGGCTGTTCCTCTAGATGGCTCTGCCTTTGCCCAAATACATCAAATCCCTGAAGCAAAAATCGCAATTTCGAGCGATACAGCGATGCCACTGAGCGCTCTGCTCCCTCCCGCGACAATCGTGAGGGTTTTGAGCAAACGGATAAACACAGATGTGTTCTGATTTTGGAGAATAATGTTTTCGGCTGAGCTCTTCAAACACAGAGGAAAGTTGCTTTTTAAAAATCTTTAAAAATCTACCTGCTTCTTGTCCTTCAGATGCCCTTTCTAGCTGTGATTTCCCCACAAACTGCTTGTCTTAGATGCCCGTTGCATGGGCAGCCTTCACATCAGCATTTTCCAGTGCGACCCTTTCCCCAAAGAGACGCGGAGCTGTTATAAATAACAAAGGGAAGAAAGCTGAGAAGGGAAAAGGCACCTTGTGAAACGTAATGTAAAATCTTCTGCTGCTGTTCCGGCTATCCAAACACACACGGCGAGCTCTTTCCCCAAAAGATGCAATATAAAATCAGCAGCAGCAACAGTGACAGGAACAAAATAACAACAGAAAAAAAAAACAAAAACAAAACGCCTAAAACGACCCAAAACACCAAAAAACCAAAAAACCCCCAAACACCTCCCCATACGATTAAGGGAGGAAACACAAAATTGTAGTTCTTTATCGTACTCGCTTTTAAGCTATTCTCTGCCTCCAAACTGTCTGTCCGCTTGTTTTAAAACGAAATATAATGGTGCAAATCCTCCAGTTACAGCATCTCTGCTTAGATCGCACGAGGGATGAAAATCTGGGACCGGAGCTAGCGCGGGAGAGCTGCCCCGCTCCGGCTCCACTGACTCACGCGTCCGCTTAGGACTCCTTTATCGCAGGCACCAAACGCAAAGGCTTTCCCCAAACGCTCCCCTCTCCCCCCAAAACCCCGACGGCAAACCGAGAAACCTTGCGACCCCGCGGAGAGCGCTTCGCACCCCGCGCTGCCCCGCTCCGGCTCCCCTGACTCACGCGTCCGCTTAGGACTCCTTTATCGCAGGCACCAAACGCAAAGGCTTTCCCCAAACGCTCCCCTCTCCCCCCAAAACCCCGACGGCAAACCGAGAAACCTTGCGACCCCGCGGAGAGCGCTTCGCACCCCGCACCCCGAAAGGGCTTTTTTTCACCCGTTTTCACCAGCAGGAACCAGGGCACCGATCTCGTTTAAGACCCGGGGGGTTTCACACCTCGCAAGCCGACGCGGACCCGCAGCTCCCCCGCACCACCGAGGGTTTCTATCTCGGCAGGCCG